CAAATTTGGGGTTGGTTGGGTTTTGGCTATTTGTAGTGAGTCCTTTTTTACTGCAGTATGGAATAGGCATAAGTCGCAAGGTAAAGCATAAGTGGCGATAACGTTTGTCTGACGGAATAAACTAGTTATAAATGCTGATCCTCATCGAAACGGCAGTAATAATAGACGCGACTCTGAGGAGATGTTTATTACTTAATCACTACACAAATTATGTTTACACATTAGCGTTAATGTTTTTTTTTCCATTCTGAGGGCTTCCATTATTGTTAGCATACTTTTTATTTTGTGATTGGTTTTTTGTTTTATAAGTTTTTTGTCTGGTGATGTATTTGTTGTATATCTTCGTTTATATTGGTGTTTATAAAACAATTTTTTTTTTTAATTGTTATTGTTGTTAAGTACTGTTTTGGGTGTATAGCCTGTCTTATTTATTATTAAATATTTCTCTATTAATCTTTATTTTTGTTTTGACAACTGTCAAATTATGCTTTTTTCAATAAATAATTCTCCTTTACTCTAATGTATATTTCTTCCCTTTTCACTGCTCGTGTTTGACCATACGGCGTTCACTGCTCGTGTTTGACCATTCGGCGAATTTTATATTCCAAAGTTTTTAAATAATAAGTAATATAATTGAACCATTAATTGATTAATATAGTAATATAATTGAATTAAAGTATATTTATTTTAAAAAGGTATTGATTTGCATAGCATTTATATACTTCTAGCAATTTTTTTGTTTAGGTTGTTAACATGATTTTTCCCTGTGAGGTTTTCATCAATGAAATTAGTAGCTCTCTTTATTTTAGTATTATGTTTATTTCTTCTCTTTATTTCAGTATTATGCTTATTTCTTCTTTTTAATTCAGTATTATGTTTATTTCTTCTCTCTTTATTTCAGAATTATACAAGAAAGTTATATTCAAAAGTAGATTTTTATTTTGAAGCTGGCTAAAAGAAAATACATTTAGTTTTTTCCATATTTATTAATAGTTTGTTTGACTTGAACCAGTTAAAAATTTTAATGAGTTCACCATTTTGTTGAATGATCTTAGTAAGTTACTGTCAGTTAAAAAACGATTTGTGTCATTGGACAACATAATTGTTGTTTTTTGATGCTTTATAGAGATCATTAACATAAATTAAAAAAAGCAAAGGTTCTCGTATGGATCCTTGCCGAACTCCGCATGATATATTTAATAAATTTGATGATGCGGGAGAACTGAAATTGGGCGATAGTTATTGAGTTTAGTTTGTTCACCTCCTTTAAAGATTGGAGTAACTCTTGCTATTTTGAGAGCATCTAGAAATATTGAGAGACTAAAAATTTTAAAAAGCATACTTTTAATGATTTGATAAGAACCAATCACAATATGTCCATTAATATCGTCTCGTCTAACTGCTTTATTAAGTTTAATCATTTTGCAGGTCAATTCAAATTCTTCAAATGTTGTTTCAAAAATATTTAGAGAAGAGTAAATTAGTGACAATAGGGATATTTTTAGCTAAGTTTGGTCTAACTGATACGAAATACTTATTTATCTTGCTTGCTATTCTAATAGAATTATTTAAGAGTTCGTTATTTATTTCAAAAACTTTAGACAGAGAGCACATTTTTATTTTATGATTACTGATGATTTCATTTATACATTTCCATGTTTTTTTAGAATCATTTTTGTATTTTTCTAATATATTGGGGTAGTAATTTTTTTAAGGTTTTTTTTTTTGTTTTTTAAATTGTTTTGCATAAGTTTTATAAAGTGTTTTATTTTCAATTGATTTAAATTTTTGGTATTTAATAAATCCTTTTTGTTTTATTTTCGAGGATTTTCTTAAACCATTTGTAATCAATGGTGATAATATATTTTTATTTGTTTTACAAATCTCACATTTTGGAAAATTTACATCGTAAATTTCATTCAATATTTTAAAAAATGAGTTGTACATATTGTTTGGTTCAGTAGTACTAATATGACTCCAATTTATCAAAGATAATTGTTCTTTAAATAAGTGAAAGTTTTTATCGTTAATGAGTCGTTTTATAATTACATGTTTATCGTTAATGAGTCGTTTTTTAATTACATGTTTATCGTTAATGAGTCGTTTTATAATTACATGCTTTTGTAGTAATAATTCAGTAGCTCTATTAATAGAGAAAAAAATAGGAAAATGATCAGATGACTTTTAATAATTCCTTTTTTAAGCAGTTTATTTGAAGTATCGGTTGTAATAATATTGTCTATAAGTGAAGCTGATTTGTTGTTATCCTTGTAGGTTTATTTATTAAAAGAATTGCTCCATTTTCAAACAAATTGTTATAAAAATCTCATTTTAGACAAACCAAATAGATGGCTTTGGGAATACAAATAATGGGAACACAGGTCAAAGGTTTTTTTATTAAGCCAGAGTTAAGTGTTGAGATTACGGGTTTAGACATCAATCTCATTAAAAATTTCCATATTTTATTAAGAAAACTTTCCTCAAGCTACGATATTAATTTTTATGAATTTGAGAAACTTTGTACTGAAACCAAAACTCTTTATCGTAATCTATACCCGTGATATGCCTGTTACTGTGCATAAAATACTTGTACATAACACGAAAGTTATAAAAATATTTCTTTTTCCAATTTGACAGCTATCAGAAGAGTCTCAAGAAGGTTGCAATAAAATATTTGTCGATTCCGCGAGCATCATACCAGAAATAACTCACGTATTTCTACCAATATAGATTTTCTCAAAATGCTTTTGGTAATATCAGATCTTGTCATCAGCTCATACAGAGAATTGTCAAGTAAGAAAACGAGTAAAATACCGTTAGAACTTAACTGTTCCACTGAAATATCACCACAGTTGGTTGAAAACATTATCCTGTGTGACAATAAAGATTATTTAGAGTCCGATTCTTCGGATAGTGAAAATAAAAACGATGATAATTGTTAAGAAAATATTTCTTTATTTTATTTTATCAGCTGAATTATTGCTCATCATATAAAATCAATAAAACACCAAAATATTATTAATTACATTCGTTGGAATCAAATTGCAGAAAAAAATATTTTTGTCCACCTAGCTTGTATAAAGCAATACACTGTGCGGCGTATCATGTTGTTGGTTTTTGAAGTGATAATTCTTGGCCTTCCATATAATTTTTCTAGATTGATGTCATCTGTGACTTGTTTCACTGAATGAAATTATGAACAGTGATTGTTAACAATCACTGTTCATGATATCATTAAGCACTAGTTAGTTTGTATATTTTACATTAATAAGAAACTATCTATAACAATTATGAGTGTCTGGATCTATAACAATTATGAGTGTCTGTATCTTTTCGCTCTTAACTGTATATAATAAAATAACACTGAATTTTAAACAAAAAGTATTTTAAAAAGTGATTCAAGATACATAACCACTTTAAGAATCCTTCAATTTATGAAATCCTCTCAATCTTTTAAACCTTTATAGCTCAATATAGTCCCTTGTCTCAATTGGCCAAATTTCTCTCGTTATTTCAAACTTTTTTAAAAAATCTTTTGATAAGATTACATTTATAAAATCCCCAAAAAAGGGTGTTTCAAAAAACACAATATCAAACTAAGTTAAGAATAAAAACAAACTATTGACCTTGCTGGAAGAAAAAAAAACACAAAATTTAGGCGGAAGAAACTTTGTACTAGTAATTTTGAAAATGTTGGTAAAATCATATTTAGGTGGATTGTCACAATATGATATCAACAAGTACTAAACAATGGCATCATTCTGAAAAGAAAAGCACTAAAAAACTTGATCCTTCTTCAATAAAATATTTCATTAGTTAAGATTGCGATGTAGTAAGAAGTTGTCCATAATTTTTTTTTTCAAATGTTAATTCGCCTCCCCAAGCCCGAGAAGGCCACAACAGTCGGGAAAACTACTTTGTGGTTACAACTAGTAGTGGTTTTAGGGCTATTTTAGTTGTGGTTACAACTAAAGTAGCCCTTTTTGAATATTGTAACTCCTGTTATAATGTTCATTGTAACTAATGTTAAAGTGTTCTAACACGTCAATGCCATAAATACGTCATTGCCTTAAACACGTCATTGCAAATTTTGAAATTTAACTTGGTTTGGAAAAAATTAAACTTTCCTCATGAGCTCTAAAACTTAAAATTTTCTTTATAAAAACCTACATCTAATGATCTAAACTTTTGTGTTTATTTAATGTTAAATGTATCATTTTTAACAAAATTTTAAGTTTAAGAGTTCTATTATTTTATTCCATACGTAAAAAATATATTTACTCAGAGTGAATTTTATTCGATTTTTCTACATATTATGGTATCACATTTTGATATCAGAATGAGATAAATATGTGATTTTATTTTAATATCATATTGATCTTATATCTTCAAAACACCTTTGATGAACAAGGCAGGGAAACAAGTTGAGCTTGGTACTACCAGTGATCTGGTGGGGATCGAACTTGGAACTTCTCGTTTATAAGGTGAGCGCTCTACCACTACACCACTACGGCATTAATTTCGTCACGAATTAGAGGGGAGGATATATTGCTTTTGTAACGACTAGTTCAGGATATGCTACTAAAGAGCTACGATGTTGTGACGGGAGGTGGAGAGGTCAAAGACAGTCAAAACTGAGTGACGTAATTTACGGACGACCTCTAACCTCCAGTTTACTATTGATACAAAAATTGTTGCTTAAATCTCAGATCATGATTTTGAAAATGATAATGATGAAGTTGAGGGTAGCATTAAAGAACCTATAGAAGTAAAAACCCTGCCACGCCCTCTAATGTTTAATTAGAAGATCCTATTGAAACCCTTCAAAGTGCTTTGCCATAAAACCATAATTATTTTTGTAATAATAATCTTATAACATCCCTTCTTCCTTAAAACAGCTTTATGTGATTCTGGACTCATGCTAAGATTATTTTTGAATAATATCTGCATCAAAAAATGAAAATACATTGCTAAAATAATCGATAGAAAAAACTATTTGATTAAGACACGTACTTATATATTTACTAAAACTTAAAAATGAAACTTTAAACATATATACAACTTAACAAATGGATATATACAGTTATGCAGTTACGTCATTTGTAATGTTTTTTTAAATCTGCTAAATAATTTCTATTATCAGGTTGATTTTTTTTTCTTTTTTTTGTATCAAGATTTTTTCACTAAGAAAAATCCCGTTTTAAAATAAGTCAAACGTGGTTTAATAATTGACAATATTATACTACATGACTACATTACTATACGTGGTATAGTAATTGACAATATTTTAAAACAACATTTTAAAGTTGGATTTGTTACGGCTTGTTAGCACAATCAAAGTTAGTATATTATAAAATTTTATTGTATAGTTTGAACTTTTAAAAAATACCAAAATATTAAGCTTAGAACAATTTTGGTAATTTCTAGTTGAAAAACTTTTAAATATTGTTTGTCAGTTATTACTCAAGTAAAATTTTAGTCTGAATTTCATCGGAGTATTTTCAATGATCATATTTTTTAAAGCTGTAAAGTTTTACCAAACTTTGACTAATAAATCTCTTTATAAATAAATGAAACGAAACCAACTGTTAGTTTATCCACTGAGCTGACACTACTTGCTCTCACCATAATACTATCATCTGTAACCTGAAAAAAGTTATATATATAAGTTATATAAATATATATATATATATATATATATATATATATATATATATATACATATATATATATATATATATATATATATATATATATATATATATATATATATATATATATATATATATATATATATATATATATATATACATATATATATATATATATATGTGTATAGAGATATATATATATATATATATATATATATATATATATATATATATATATATATATATATATATATATATATATATATATATATATATATATATGTGTATAGATATATATATATATGTGTATATATATATATATATATATATATATATACATATATGTATATATATATATATATATGTATATATATATATATACATATATATATATATATATTTATATATATATATATATATATATATATATATATATATATATATATATATATATATATATATAGAGAGAGAGAGAGAGAGAGAGAGAGAAAGAAAGAGAGTTTAATTAGCTATAATATTGTTTCTAAACTATATAGGGGAAGTTAGGGTACAGTGGATCGAGGGGCACAGTGAATAAAAGACATTTTCTCAAATAATAGAATTTTGCTCATCTTGATAATGTAATCATTTTATGTACTCATATCATCAGCCATCTTTATTTATAGTTGTTACTACATAATTTTTAACTACCGGTTTATGATTTATAAATCATAAGTTCATATAAATCATAAGATTTATAAATCAAAAGTTTTGTTTTTAGCTAACTAAAGTAAATTTTCTCACTTTCCTAATGTTTATTATGGAGATCATCGTTGCAGTAACTTTAAAAGTTGAAGTTTTTCATTCGGAATATTGATATTTAGGCTTTATTTTAGAAGTTTCGCTTTTCTTTTAACAACACTCGTGTCCCAAGAAATTAGACAAACTTAATTTGTTATGGTGTGGCACAGTGAATTGGGGTACAGTGAATAGGTTGATTCACTATACTCCATTAATGACCTTAAAGATTAAATTTATACATTTTTAACAAACAAACTACATGAAAATGAGTTTATTAGTTTTATGTTATGAATAATAATTTTTGAATTTTTAAATATTTTTATAAGTTATTATTATATATGTTATTAGTAAAATTCTTTTTTTTTGTTCTCAATTTTCAAAATGTCTTTTTTTTCGATTTTATACTAATCTAGTTAATAAAAGTATGCCAAAAATATAGTGTACAGTATCTTTACTCCCTCAGCCTGATAGTTATTTGTTTATGTCCCTATTCACTATCATTAACTCACAGCTGTGTACCTTGATTCACTGTGTCCAAATACTGGGGCACAGTGATTAACGTAACACAATTTCCTATAAACCTTTCTGTGAGCCTACAGATAGTTAATATATGGGTTTAAGTAATTTATTACCATGAAGGACATATATCTCAATCCAATTCGCCTTGAAAAAGATAAAATACATTTTTTAACTTGTGCTCAATATAAAAAAAAAAGAAATCTGATCCACTGGGTCTCAACTTCCCCTAGTATTGTAATTATACAATCGTGAATTAAATATTAAAACGGAGTCCATAGATTCAGTTAAACTCAGTAATTTAAAAATACTGTTTATACTTTTGCTCATAAAATAAAAAGTGAAAAAACCTTTTTCTTTGTAGTGAGATATTCGTCATGTTTATTTTGTGTCATTAAAATGCTGTTATTATTTTCTTCTTTTTCATTAGTTTGAAGCACAACTGATGGACTAGAAGAAAAAATTTTTGTTTGTTGTTCTTCGTCGCGTAACTTAGATTTAAGTAGTAATTTTAGTTTTTCCGATTCTTTTATAAGACGTTTGATCTCAGCTGAAGACTCAGATGATTTTCTTTCAAACTCTAATTTTTCCATTCTGTAAATAAAACTAACTTTTTTAACTATATACAATATGCTTAGTATAACGTTTAGATATAGCATATTATCATATTATGTTATACCTAAATGATAAAATATTTTAAAAATGGTTTACATAAACAGATTAAACTTATTGTTAAACATAAAATTAAAACAAAATGATCAAACGGTATTCATGCGTTACATGACGTGTGTACATAACGTAGTTTTAAAACGAACTGATGTTCAAAATCTTATCATTAAAATCATATGACTTATTTTTATCTTCATATTTTATGAACCAGGGACTGATGAAGTATTTTATGGTGTTTGAGATTTCTATAATTTGAACTTCTAAATATGAAGCAAATTCCGAATATTTATGTTTATACGTATTTTAAATAAAGATGCTTTGCAAAAAATTGCGATTATTGGAGCCTAGTAGCGAAAAAGCCTCAAATTTTTGTTCCGCTTTTTCAAATCTATAGATTTGAAGTTTTCAGTTTGAAGTTTGAAACATTTTATTGTTTAGCTAAACATTTCTTTTAAAACAAGATCAAAAACTCAAATAAATAAACTGAAAATGTCATCATTACTCATTTATTTTTGTTTTGATCATCTGACTTTTATTTCGTATTAAAATAAGAAATTTATGGTATTGTTTACTTTTAATATCTTACCATACTGTTTAGCGTTAGTAATATCTGCGTGGAATGGTATTGTAATTCCCTTCATTTATTTAATTTTTTATAAACTTTTTTTTTATTTTTTATTTTTAAATATTAATATTAACAAAGGCGTTATGTTTTCCTCCTGCTCTGGCTATTTATTTAATATTTACTATAAACATAAGGCATAGAAAATTAAAAAAAAAAAGTGTGAAAACAAGTTGATTATATTTTTTTACTATTTTCAACTAAATTTGAAAATAGTAAAAAAAAAGTTTAACATTTTAAACATAAAAACATTTAAAACATTTGTTGCTTGGTGACAAGATTATACTGCATTATTCAACGTAATAAAAAATTAAAAAAATTCACCTTTCATGCTCAGCTTCTTGTTCGAGGCGTAGACGCGCTTCTTCAGCCGCCAATTGAAGCATTTTAACTCGACGGGCTTCTTCTTCTGTTTGGCGTTTTTTTTCTTGCAAGATCTCAGCCTCTTGTTTTGCTTTTTCAAGAGCTTCATGTGCTAAACGTGCTTCTTCTTCAAATTTTTTAAGCCTTAACTCTAACATTATTTTTTCATTTTCTGCGTCGTCGTGCTTTTCATTCTTTTTATTCCTCATTTGGGCTTTTATTTGATGAACTTCCGTTAAAGGCTTTCTTCTTCTCAAGTAAAGTTCATAATTATCCATACATAGCGACATAATACTTTTGTTGGTTATATGATGAGAAACATAAAATATAAATTCCTAAAAAAGAAATATTCAGAAATTTTATACGAACGATAAATGTGATCACAGCAAAATATTTCAGTGGTACTTTTGAAAAAAGTTAGAGGTCTTTAAAAAATATATATAACAACGCTTTTTAAAAGCTAACGCAACTTAGGTTGCTAGTTAGCTAACTAAACATGCACAAAAAATTTTTTTGGGGGTGATTTAAAAAACACTTTACATAAAGAATTTTAAAGTATTTTAATAGTTTCTTTATAAATATGTGACGGTACTCCCACACTCAAGAGAAGTATTTAAACAGTAAACGAACAATATGATAATAATATTAATAATTGAAATGCAAGAAAGTATTAAAAATAAATAAATCATACATGTGCTTTACGATCAATTAACTTGATGTAAAATTTTTTGCCATTAAAAGAAAGATTTTGAATGGAGTTCCAATGATAAACTATTATAGGTTTTAGTTTATTTTCAGGTTCATAAATATTTATACCCAAAGCATTAATGCCAATTAAAAGATCAACCCCAGACTTGTTCTTTATTTCAAAATAGTTTACTCCAAACATCTCTAGGTCTTGTGCTATTTTTAGATACTCCATCATTGAATCTTGTCTAAAATAAAATAAGAAAAAGTTTATTTTTAGATACTCCATCATTAAACCTTGTCAAAAATAAAATTAGATAAAGTTTTTTTTAAATACTGGATCATTGAATGTTGTCTAAAATAAGACAAAGTTTATTATTAGATACTCCATCATCGAATAGAGTCTATAGAAGCAAGTATAAATACCTTGTAAAAATAATGCGTAAAAATCTGCAGATTTCTTTTATTTAATATAAATAGTTTGAATAATATATAATATATTTAATTTGATAATAAAATGGCATTCATCTTATTTACCTCTTTTTTTTTTAAATAAATCATTTAGGGGAAAGTTATGTAGACCCGGATGGCGGGTAAATCCGGACATTTGATGTACACCCAGGAAAAAAAGTTCTATAGAATTTTATATAAACTTTTGAAACATATGGGCTATAGAAATTCTATAGAATTCTATAGAATTTCTATAAAGTTTCTGTTAACTTCTATAAAAGTTCCTATTGAAATTTTTTTTCTACTTTTTTTTTTATAAAAAAAAAAGTTTTATAGAAATTTTTATAGAAATTAATGAACATTCTATAGAAATTCTATAGAGTTTCTATAGGCCATATGTTTCAGAAGTTTATAGAAAATTTTATAGAACTTTTTTCTGGGCAGCTTAATTAAAGAAGCTATGTGATTTTAAATACTATAAAAACATTGAGTAAAAATATGGTATATGCAAAATATCTATCATAATATGTCAAAGCGATTGGCTGCGAGTGCAAGATATTGTTTATCTCACCACCAGAAGAGCGATGCATCATCATATTTGATTCACATATTAATATATCTAATTTTTATGTGAACTAATACCTTTTTATTGATTAAAGATACATTTTTATTTACATTATTTATTAAAAAAAAAAATTCATTCAATTCACTTTATTTAACTGATTTTAAAACTAGTATTTGTGAATGGAGGTATGATCGATTGGTATCGAACACATGTTTAAAGAGTGGTTCCGGACAACTTAATTCATTTACATATTAAAAATGAGCAGCTTTTTTATAAAAATAAAAATACATTTAATATAATACACAAACCCATTATAGTAATTCATTTAACTGCAATAAAAGATCTAAGATTTGAAAAAAAGTGTTTTTAAAGTGTTTATTTTCATTAGTAAAAATCTAATATTTATATTTCTAAACGATGACATTTTCATTCACATTCCTTATACATCAAAGGTAATTTTTTGAGGCGATTTTTTTTTTAATGTGTTGACACCATTCCATTGCTAATTAATTATATATTGCATTGTGTCACATGGGTAAAAAAGAGGTAAAATCATGGTTAAACTATGGGACTACCCTCTAAATATGAAACATGCCTTTTTTCAAACATTTTTTTTTTTATGCTTTGTATATTATTAAAGTACACAATAACTATTTTTTTGTTTCTAATTCAATAGGTAAATGTTTATACTTTTAAGTATATCATGTACTAACAGAAAACAAAGTCTCTCGACACTTTGTTTTCTGTTAGTACATGTGTCCAATCTATTTTTTCCTTAAGTGTCCGGAGCTACCTAAATTTTCCCTAAAGCCAACACAATTTTCAAATAACAGTTATATTTAACCAAAAAATATTATTCTGCTACTAAGTTCTCGATCGCAATTGACCTAAATTGTGAAGCACGCTAATGAATAATGAGTTAAAAACTATTTCTTTCCTTGATCAATTTGAAAATAAGCTTAAACAAAATTTTTTGTTTATTAACAACGAGTTGAACTTCTTCCGAAACTTTTAAATAGGAATAATCACTTTGTAATATATTTTATAAAATATATGTTTAGAAATGTGTAAATAAATAAATACCTATATGTTTCTTATTATATTCAATTTTTATACTATAATTTTGTGTTTTGTAAAACCGAATTTCTAAAAAATTTATTTTATATGAAGTATACATTATAATATATGTTGTTCATAATACTTGCTCTTCTTTTGTTGTCAATGTTTTATCTCATTTTTATTTATTTGAAATTTGAAATCTTAATGAATAAAAGTTAAAAACTATCATAATAGTATAATATAAACGTTCTTTTATATTTCTATCTATATATGTATTTTTTGCATATATTGCATTGTTATGTAACGAAAAACTGCAATTGAACTTCGTATCGTATATTTTTATTTATCTTCATACTTTAAAGGGGCAAGACTGAATTTGTCTTTTTCTTCTTCTTCTTTTTTTTTACAAAAATCATTATTATATATTTCAAAAAAATAATATTTACATGTCTCTAATTTATTTAGTTATATAATTTAAAAATTCGTGGTTTATAACACATTGTGTTGGCTATTAAACCATGCATTTAAAAAATATATGCAAGTCCATCGCAGCACTGGGCTACTAGGGCTTGTTGTTGTTGTTGAATATATATATTATTAAATCAAAATAATGTAGTTATGTACTTAATGTAGTAAGGAAACTCGAACAAGACTACAAGAAGTTTTATCATCGAGAACCTTTAAGATACAAAATAAACTTAAAATTTCAAAAGTATATTTACAAAACACACTGTTTGGGGTATATTGTTTAGTAATATTTTACTGTGTTAAGTTGTTAACTTTATTTATTATTATTATTTTTAATTTTTAAAATCTTTTTTTTAGTTATTATCAATATTATATATCTTTTACATTTAATACATATCATACATATCGATAAAATTATTTTTGTTAGTTATGAGATCTTTTAGTTTCTAAATCTCGGCATAAAAATTATCCAATTCAATAAGTTCTATATTTTGAGGTATTATTTTGTTGTATAAGTAGGGGCCACGGTATACAAGTAGGGGCCACGGTATACAAGTAGGGGCCACGGTATACAAGTAGGGGCCACGGTATACAATTGAAAATCTCGAGAATTTTTTTTTTTATAGGCAATGTGAAGTTACCTGTTCCTCGTGTGATAAATATGTTGGCATTGATTCTTGCCCCAGCCGTGTATTTTTATTTTATAATAACTAACTTTATCATTTTTTTTTTATGGTGAAATACATAATAATAATAATAAAATAATAATAATAAATTTTTGGATAAACAGCTAATTAAATGGCCGTATCTTTTAAAATACCGTATTTATTAATTAATAGACTCTTTCCAGATGAAGCTTTAAATAGGAAAGTTTATTTATTCAACCCTTTATCATTTCCATATCTTCATTTGACACGAAATCATTTCTAAATTAAATTAAGTATATATTTTTTAAACATATGCACATTTTTATAAATTTCTTATTTTTTATTTTATGAAATGGCTAATAGATTTGGTTAACTATCCCGTCACTAGTAGTAGGATATATTGTTTGATATTAAAAAAATATATTTTTGGTCGTATGTTAAACTGCATTGTGTCTAATAACCACTTTACAAGCACTGCTGATGACAACTTAAAATCTAAATAGAAATGTGATGTCTAAAGTAGGTTGTTTAGTAATCGTCATCATTTTTTTTCTTTACCCAAAAAATAAAAAAAAATTATTTCTGTTTTCTTAAAGTTTATAGTTGTGGTGTTATAATGGAAAATACTCAAACTAATACGGTTAAAAAGTTAGACATTAAAAGTAGCTTTGACTAATATTAGAAAAAGTAGTTTATGCATTTATAGTGCATCAAAAATGTATTAAATACGCGGAACTGCTTTCAAAAGGCATTTAAAAGATAAAAAATAAAAAAAAAGCGCTGGAAATGATAAAAGATAATGAGAAATCAATTGCTGGTTGGCTTCTAAATAGAGCAAAACTATATCTAATAAAACAGTTATCTAATAAAACAGAATGAGCTAATACAAACGGTTACAGAATGAGCTAATACAAATACGGATGCTAAGAAGCAACAATTTATTGCCTAAATTCAAAAATGGCTCAGTTTATTTTGGATTAAAATATTTTTAAAGTTCGAAAACCATAATCATTAAGTCGAGCAGCAGCCAATGCTTCAACAAACTAAATTGAGGACTAAATTGAGAAAATCTATAACTTTTCTGTGGAAAGCAAATACTTAGAAAATTTCAACAAACTAAATGCTTTCATGATTTTTGACAAAACTTGCTTTGAACTCCTAGAGTTAAAGAAGTTTTATTTGTCTTAAAGAATCTCTTGATTCTTTAAGACAAATAAAAAATACCACTGTTGTCAACTGTTTTTCTGCCGATCAATTAATGTTTCGACCACAAATCATATTTAAAAAGTCATTCAGTTGGTTGCAAGATGTCACTTATTCTTTTGGTATTATTAATATTAATTTTCTTTTGACACAAACTCTTTTAAGAATTTGGTTCTTTTGTCACAACAAAAGTTTGTGTAAGAGTTTCAATAAGAGTTTGTGTCATTTGACGAAAATTCTTATAAGAGTTTGTGTCAAATGACACAAACTCTTCCTAGCGCAAAAGAAAATTCGTAGCAATTTTATCAATTTGTTTGCCATAAATTAAAATGTATGGAAAACAAAAGTATTTTTCCAGAGTTACTTGAAGAAAATAGAAGAATTGAAGAAAAAACAAGTTGAGTATTCATTTTTTTAAGGTAACCGTAGCAGTCATATAAACTCAAATTTGTTTCTATTGTGCAAGGAAAAGCAAACTCCCATAATAGGTTTTCCACTGATTGCTCGTGAAAAACCTGCCATAATTCGAAGATAAGTATATAATTAAAAATTTAAAAAAAAAAAAAAAAATGTAACGACGGTAATTAAAAAATTTAGACTCTTTTATTTACGACGAAAAATAATAAAAAACTACCTCGAAATATTTGTGTGTTTACTCCACAAGCTTGTAACTCTTTCTTCTAACTGCTCTTTAGTTATTTGGTATTTTGTATAGACTCCCTCAGGTAATAATTTTTCGCTTGATAAAAAGCCGCTTATGTGAATATCACGTTTATAGCTACCGTATTTTACCTGAGCCGCATAGGAAGCCAAAAGCACTGAAGTATCTGACGAGCAATAAATCTCTTCTGACAAAATACTCTCTTTTATTTGTAAGAAAAATAATCTTTGGGTAATATCTTGGGTCAACTCAGAGACAACATTTTCAGGAAAAAATTTGGAACGAAGCGTAAATTGCAACGGAGATTCTTTTTTAATTTCTTGCGCTATGACTTTCTTTTTTAACTTTAACCAAGTAGTACAGTTTTTTACATCAGTATATTGAAGTCCAAAAAAACATATTTCTTGAAGACCAATTATATTAAACACTTGATCAAGCATCTGCTGACCAGTTGTGCTGGGTTGGATAAAAAATTCTAGTTCATCATCCGCAGTTGTGACGCGGACATTTATCTAAAAATAAAGTACAAACGCGAGATTAAACTTAATGAGATTTTTATAACTAATAAATAGTATGTCACACTCGGCATTTTCTAAAAGTTTTAACTGAACCGATGAAACTTTTAGAAAATGCCGAGTTTTCAATTTTAGTTCAATTGA